AATTACAATTTCTGTAGAAATGGAATTATTAATTACAAAAAGGATGTATTAATAACGAAGATGAAAAAGAGATGGATTGTTTACACACGAATTACTTCTTTTATAATAAGGAAATGTAAGATGTAAATGCACGTGTACTTGTTTATTGAATTATGGCTCTTTTTTAACCGCTTTTCGTCTACCGCAAAACCTCATTTTACCTCAAATGCTCTATATTTTTAAATAAATCATTTATTTTGCGTAGCATTTGATGAATCTTTTTTGCTACAATCATTTCAGTGGCTTTTTAATGATGTAGACTTTGCGCAAATTTATTGCAATTTTCTTCACGTGTAGGTTGCAGAATGTCAAAAGTTTAATGATGAAAAATGAAATGTTTCCATTTTTTAATGATGCTTGAGACTTTTATTTCTAAATTTAAAATTAATATATTGTTGCAAAATTTAAATTTATACATCAATAAATGTCACTAAGGCTAGACTCTTTCTTAAACAATTCTCAAATACATAACTTATGATGAGATCTTTAATAATAATAATAGCTGACACAATTTTTGCACATTTTGAATACTTTCAAATAGAATCTAGTGTTTTTTACCTTTCAAATCTGCTGTTAATTAAAGTTTTAAAGACCTCAATCATATAAGTTCTACCCTAGTGAAAAAGAGCATCTAGAAGATCAAAGAACTAATGGAAACAGACTGTTGATAGAGACAGTATTGCATTTGGTATAGGAAATTTGCAAGGCGTGGAAATTATACCAAATATCCCATTTATCCCATATATCCCAAAAATATTCAAAATAATCCCTTAGATGTATGCATTAGAATTGAGATATCCCATCATATCCTGAAACTACACATCCAATACACTAAGGATGCTTTGGGATAACTCAATTCTAATGCATACAGGCTCAGGGATTACTTTGAATATTTTTGGGATATATGGGATAAATGGGATATTTGGGATAGTTTCCACGCCTTGGAAATTTGCAAGCGGTAGTAAGCCATAGAGCCAGTTTTAGGCAGCATCTGAGGTGAGGTTTAGTAAGGAACCTACTTTTTGAAATGTATAGAATTTGTGAGATTTACCTAATTGTATACACCTAAGCCATATCAGCTCAGCTGACCCCTGTTCCCAAATTGTGTCTCAATTGAAAATACATAGACAGTGGTGGACAACCTTTTTGGTGCCACGATACACCTTGATGGTAAGCCGATGATCAAAATCTCAGCATACGGTTCGTGAGATTTCTCAAACCGTATAGCAGGACATTAGTGTTCCGTATCATATGAATTGACCATCACTGAACTAAGGTACAAACAATAATTGGTTCGTGATGTATTCTGTTAACAGAGAGTCTCAAAAATGGCATAAGTAAGTTTTCTAAATGCTGAAGAAGGTGTGACTTAAACACAATGCCCGAGCGGCACAAGGTGGCAGGTGTCAGTCGTATGACTGTTATATGATCGTTTTGAAATGGCAGAAAACAGTTATATGACGATTATTTCGTAGCAATTATATGACAATTTTATAAAACTGTTATATGACTGCCATGTGACTGCCATGAGAATAAATTAATTACAGTTACCATTGATTTTTGAAAAATTATGAAAAGCATTCATTTGAAATTGTGATTTTAAAGTGAAAAGTTCATTTTGTTGTTACTCTTTCAATTTTTAATTTATCTTTGTACGCAATTGTTGACGGATCAGACAGAATAAATGTCATTCCTGAAAAGTGAATGAGGGAGATTAAATTGTGGGAATAGTTTATCCACGAAGGAATGGTTCGAAAGATCATTTAAAAACTGTCAAGAAACAAAAGGATCCACAGGACAATTGGGAAAAAAATGAAGTCACCGTATTGAAAAAAGGAATCGGTATGTTATGTATAGTTTTTTTTTTAATTCTAAAAGGCTTAGTAAATTTTAATTTATTTTAGAATCTTTTGAAGCAGCCATTAAATCGATGCAGACCCGACAGAAGTATTCAAACGCAGAATCTGAGCTGGAAACATTTAACAATAAAATATTATTATAAAAGTTCAAAAATAAACACAAAATTTAAACCCCTAATATTTTGTAATTTTTTAAAATTGTTTAAATTTATATTTCAGCCTATAAAATTGCCATGTAATTGATATAAAATTGCCATAAAACTGCCATCTCATTGACATATAATTGCCATTTAACTGAAATTTGATAAAAGTACTGCCATCTGTGCCTGTCATAAAACTGCCTAGAAACTGTCATATAACAGTTTCCGGTTTGTGTCAATTTTTATTGATGGCAGTCATATGGCAGTCATATGGATTACTTTATCATACTATTTGGTTGACATATCGTCAACATCGATAGCAATTATCTGTCATATGACTGCCATAAAGCAGTCTTTATTGCCATCAAACGATGGCAATTGACACGTGGCAGCTGACATATGGCAGTCATATGACAGTTATATGACACCTTTGTGCCGCTCGGGATGATATGAAGTGTCATCTCAAGCTTTGCCAGAAATTAGTCATATTTCTTGACTAGGATATACCTAATGAACCAATTGATTTTAGTGACTAGATCGTATAAATGAACAACGAGCTTCCAGCAAAGAAATAGTCTCTCTACTAATTAAACCAAAATCAGACGATTTTAATTGCCTTTTTGATCTAAATTTAGCTCATTCTGAGTACCAAATTGTCAAATACTTATAATCACACTCAAATAGCATCTAATTTAATATTAGAAATAGGAAAAAATTGAGACATAATATTTTTAAAATAAAATTGAACATAAATTCTCCATAAGCTCTTTTTCATGAGAAATGATACAAAAATGTCAAATTTTATGTGGGTTGAGTATGAAATTGATTTTTTGTTATATGCTGTTATTTTAACTGCTTCCACGAAATGAAAATTTGACTGAATTTAACTCCACAAGTATTGCAAAATAAATGGGTTGTTGATGCTCACAGCTTAGTTACAATAAAAGAACAGATTTCTCGATAATTTCAGATTTTAACTTCTTTTTAAAAGCATAATTGCCTTATCAATATTCTAGCTAGCAGTCAGCAGCTTCCATCTCATTTAACATACCCACTTAGCTTTTCCAACCTCCATACGAACAAAAGGAAATCCTTCAAACACTTTCAACTTCCACAAAGCAAACAAAAACTCTTTTCAAAAAATCCATCTGTTGGCGAATAAATCCTTTACAATAAATTTATATCCACCTCGAGCTGTGCAAATCTGGGTAAAGGATTTGCCTGCACATTAATTCTCTAGATTGAGAGAAAAAAAAATCTCTTGATAAATTAAGTAAATACAGCTAAACATGCAGGTAGATAAGAGCAAAAATTCTTGACCCAGAAAATTTGTTGAAGATGTAACAACTTAGATTCCTTCAAGCATCAGTAAACAGCAACAATAATAACTGTAATTTCTATTATTTACAATATACCAGCATAATTTAATTCTCAATGATGATGAAGATAAATAGCAGTCATGCTACACAGGATCCTGATTGGTTATTTTCTGATTGGAAATGAAAACATCTTCATTGTTCACTTTTTTACATCATCAACGTCAAGAACTTTGAGTATAAATTATGGATGTTGTTTGAATAAAATTAAAATACTTAGCCATAATTTAATATTTAAATAATATTTCATCTGTAAGATGTCGAAAAGTTGTTGACAGTCGATGGTCTTTGCTTGAATATTTTACGAGGTTTTTGTTGACTTTATTCAAATTGTTGGAGTTTGACAAGAAGATTGAAATTTGCTGTTATTTGGAGAGTTTGGGGTGTTACTTTATTAATATTCAGAATTCAGAGGTCATTGCAGCGTTTTTGGATTTTTTTAATATTTATCAACAAACAGCTTATGATCAAGATTAGATAAGAAGTTCCCTACACTCATACATAGTTGAGATCCTGGGATTGGTTTCTTTTATTTGTCTGGAGCAAGGACAGAGTAGTGTTGCCCAAACTTTTTTATGATATGGCACACCAGGTGATGAACCACGATCTAAACTGCACACAGAATGTGGTTTGATGCAAATTCCTTAGTTTTTCTACGTCATACAGTTTGTATAACACTGGTTTGGAGTATGCAATAGCCATATTAGCTATATACAAGCATTACTTCAGGTTTAACCGAGAAACGAGACCTTAAAGTTACATCAATTGCGTAGCCAGGAGGGTATTGCCCCCCCCCCCCCCTCCTTAAACGTTCTGAACGGCCTAAGCACGGCCTAAAACGCTTAAAAGGGGGACAGGACCCTCCTGGCTACGCGCCTGAACAACACAAAGATCCAAAGCACTTCCTTAATGATATTTCAGCCAGTAGCTCATAAATAAAGGCTGTACGCTTCATTTGATATAAAATGCGTCAAGCAAGAAATTCAGTCTTGAGTTTTGAACCCACGATTGCTATATTAAAGTGCTGAAACATAAAACCACCACGCCACTAAGCCACTTCAGCTCATCAGCACCTATTTCGCTTTAGAGATATTTGAAGGCGGCGATGCATAAATCGTCTGACACTGAAATTCTCAAAAAGATCCAGAATAATGATGTCATCTTCTTTAAAAGTCACAAGACTGTAACAACAGCGCCAAAATTATTAATCACTTGATCGTCAAAAAGACGTGATTCAGAATAAAAAATTTTAATACCCCCAGAATATTTTTTAATCCTTCGAATCATCTGTCTTCATTCAAGACAAAAATTTGTCTTAATTTATTAGCATTTAAATGTCCAATATAATTATAAGCAGATGAAGATCCAAGAGTGAAGATGAATAATGGCATTTTCGTGGCATTTCCACAAAATTTTAATAATTTTTGCATGAGCAAGAGGGTAAAATGAATAAATTTAATTTAATTGTGTGCATCAAATCTACGAGGAGCAGGAGCAAGCAACAACAAATTTTGTAATTTTTCATCTTTTTTTGTCTACATTTTTATTTTTCAATTTTCTTCATATTCTTCTCGTTTTTCTCATAGAAACATAAGCGCAAAAATCATTGTGATAAGAATAATGACAGTACAGGCAATTTAGCAGATTTATCAAGCAATGAAGACGATATTAATATAATGAATGAAGATTTTGAGAAGCTACAAGTGGATAAACCGTATCAAGTTAAATATTCTGAGATTTATGGGAGGTTTGGCTTTTTTGAAATCTTTTATTTTCATTTTTCATTTTCTTTTCTTTCTCTTTTTAATGCTTCTTGATTTTCTTATCTTCTCATTCTCTTTAAAAAATTTTTTTTTTCATTTTTAAAGATGAGAAAATGAGAATGTAAATTTGAGAGGGAAAAACTTGCTTTTTTCTTTTTTTTTTCTTGTTTCCCAACTAGAATACGTCTGAGATTTGTTTGTACTTGATGATTTTTGTTTATAATTTGGTTTAAAAACTATCAGTCCAAAGGTGGCAAATTTATACTGCGCAGAACTTACTTCGCCATGTTAAAATAATTTTGTCAGTTTTTGTTGTATATCATATTTTATTTTATGTTGCGCAGAATGAACTGTGCCATATTAAATTAATACTACACACATTGGATTGCGCCATATTAAGTGTATACTGCGCACAATGAACTACGCCATATTAAATGTGTACTGCCCACAATGAAGTGTGCCATATTAAATGTATACTGCGTAGAATGAACTGCGCCATGTTAAATTTATACTGCGCACAATATCCAATGGCGCAATATTGCGCCCTATTAAAATTTATACTACCTTTGATGCTAGTTTCGTCACGAGAGTGATCTCTTTTGAAGCCTCGATAATGTTTGAGTACAAAAATCAGAGTCCAACAGAGCAGAATAGTCAGTTAAGCACATCTTTAAACTACATGCGAAATCACACCTCAAAAATTCACAACACTCTCAACTGGACTTTTGAAAAATTCCACAAAGTTTTTCCCTCTCATAAACTATAAGAAAAAAATCTACAAGACGATTTAAAGTTATAAAAACAAATAAATAAGAACATGAAAAAAGAGAAGAAGAAAAGAAAAGCTACATATATCAATAGCATCATCTTGACGATGACGATGATGATGTCTCAAGTGGCATACTCACTTAATTATGTATTTTTAGATATTTAGTGGCATCAAGAGATTTAAAGAAAGGAGAGAAATTAATTGAAACTGATGCTTTAGTGATTGGTCCATGTGCTGAGAGCTTACCATTATGCTTAGGCTGTTATGTCGACCTTATCAACGTGCCAAGAAAATACTAGTGAGTAGAAAATTTATTTTTTGTCAGATGAGACAAGATATTGAAATGTTTTGATGGACCTTGAATACTTGAGGATTAATTTAATTTTTCACGACAACTGTGGATTCCCCGAAAATAAAATGTCAATGTCTCGTCTCATTCATTTCGGAATTTTTAAATAAAATCTTAATTGCATGTGACAAATAGAGAAAAATAAATCAATTAATTGTTAATTTACAGTTGTCCAGATTGCGGATGGATATTATGTCAGAAAAATTGTCCGGGATATCACACGCCACATGGTCATAGCGAGTGGGAGTGTCAATCATTTAAAGAACACAATTTGGCATCATTTCTACTAAAATGTGATGAAAAAGACATTAGATTTATATTTGAGGCAATTTTAAGCTTAAGATGTTTATTAATGAGGCAAGCTGAACATGATAAATGGATAAAAATTAGTGAAATGGAATCGCATAATAAAATCCGTCGGAATATTCCGACACTTTGGGATCGAAATCAGGAGCTAATCGTTGATCGAATAAGATATCAGTGGGGATATAAAGAATTCTCTGAAGATGAAATTCACACAATTTGTGGAATCCTAGAAGTAAATAGCTTTGAAGTTGGTACAAATGGATGTCGTGCTCGTGCATTGTTCCCGGAAGCTTATCTCATATGTCACGATTGTCAGCCTAATACAACACATACAGATGATACTCTAACTCATAAATTACATTTACGTACGACGATACCACTCAAGAAAGGCTCCACAATCACTTTATCGTACTCATATACACTTCAAGTTAGTATTAATTAATTCTATTTGTGAATGGATAAATGGATATGTTGATTTGAATTTGTTTTGAGCGAAGATAGAGGAACTGATGATTGAATTTACTTTGTATGTTTGAACTTAAAATGAGCTCTTGTTCATCAAGATTTAACGTTGCTGCATGCAAAGTCAGTGTTGTTAATCTAGATGGTGTTACATCTATGAAACTGTTTGACTCATTCTGGTTCCAATAGTTCAAAATATTAGTTTAGAGTCAGCTTAACATCAGTATGATCCGACTAAGTTGAAGGTGGTATATTCTTGGTTTTTATGGTTTTTATACCAAAGTATATCAGAGTTGTACAGCTTAGGAGAACTTCAGCAGTAAATCTGAGAAGCATCTTAGCACAGGAAGTACTACAGGAGGATCCACAATAGGTGCATTTTAGAGCTTTCTTTAAGCTATATCTCTGAGTCTAGTTTTAAGCGCTGGTCACAGTCGAAATAAATTTTTACTCTATTGTGTACAGAATGAGTAGCCATACAAGTTATTCCTATAAGTATAAAAAAACTCTAAGTTTAAGGAAAACAAGAGCGAGCTCAAAACAGTTCTAATCACAGTTTACTTCTAATAATCAACTTTATAACAACAAATAGAAGTCAATGACATTATCCAGGCTCAAACAGAGCCAACAACACTGAATCAAACTCAATTCCCAATCCACCTTCAATCTTTTAATCCACCCAATTCTTCCTCTTTCTCATTTGCACAGGGAACATTAAAACGTAGAGATCATTTACATGAAAGCAAGTTCTTTTGGTGTACATGCAATCGATGCAAAGATCCAACGGAATTGGGGACACATGCAAGCACTCTTCTATGTCCGAAATGCACTAATGGATTTATTCTGTCAACAGATTCATTAAATCAGGATGCAGATTGGAAGTAAGTAATAAAAAATTCTCATCTCGTGTTCCCATGTTTTGTGACGTAATGTGAAATTCCAATTTAAAAATAAAAAAAAAACTTTATCCATGTAGATGTAAAAAATGTTGCTATGCTGTAAGCGGAAAGTCAATTTTAATTTTATTGGATCGACTCTTTGATGAGCTTGAAGTCCTTGATCCAAATAGCATAAAAGACTATGAAGAATATTTAAAACGTTATGCAAACGTCCTGCATCAGAATCATTATCTCATGCTATCGGCGAAGCATTCTCTCTGTCAATTAATTGGACGCTCCGATGGTTTTCTCATTAATGAACTCAATTTGAGTCAATTACAGCGGAAGGAACAATATTGTCGTGATTTGCTCGCTGTCGTTAATGTTTTTGAACCTGGTATGAGTCGATTGCGTGGAATAATTTGTTACGAGATGCATGCAGCGATGATGATGATAATTACGAGAGAATTTGAGAATAGAACAATTAATAGCAATCAATTGAGGAGTCGATTGAAGGAGGTAAGAAACAATTAAGATTTTTTTTTTTTATTTTGGGTTATTGGTTGTTGATGGAACTAAGATTCTAATGGATTTCTGAGAATTGTTTTCGTGTTTACAAGACGTTCATATTACTTTGGATGGTTATACCTACCAATAATAAGATTATTTGCTTAATATTTATGGTCTGTCTATAAGAATATAATGATTAGCGTGAATCATTGCCATCTAAAGCTGATATCTGTGGATATGGCTTGAAGAGCATATCAGGACTAGATTGGCCTGAGCAAAGGACTCGCGTTGAACTGGTTATATGTGTATGACAGATAGCCGAAGTGAGATAAGTTCCTCGGTGGTCGAGTGGCAGAGATCTCTCAACAAGTGGTCAAAGATAGCCTCTATTGAGGTCGTGGGTTCGATTCCTATCGAACTTGACTTGTTTTACATTTGTATATAGGTATAACAGTGCTAGGGAGATCTACAATATTCTTCTCTAGCTCTTAACTATAAATATAGTAAAAGGAATTGTTTCTAGTGTCATTTGGTTCAATTTTAACATGATCATCCACTTAGATACTTGCTGTTCTTACTATCTAACCTAAAAACATGTCTGGATCTCGTCTACTTATATTATTCTTCCATTTACTATGCTGTCTATTCCTATAGAACCTTTTGCATCTAAAGAATTTCACCAAAAACCATTTAAGGTTCAGATACAACCTAATCCATAATAAAGAAGTTAAGCCAATTGGTCAAAAAGGGAGGTTCTAATACTTACGGGAGTCACATAAAATGAAGATGCTCCAAAAAATTGTTCATAAATCCCCAAGATATCTCTGGCATCGTAAAATAATTTTCTTCATTTTTCATTTCCATTCCACAGATCGTCAAATTACTCCACGAATCAAATGACATTTTAAAGATTGAACCGATTGGCTCACCAGAATATTCCATGTCATTAGCCGCACAAGATGCTCTAAAGAAGATGGGAAATATTTAAATGACATAATATGTATGACGACGATGATAACTTTATAGCTTGTTCCTCCTTCTCTTCTCTCCATTTTCATTCTCACCGTCACCACCAGCTTTATTACATGAATGCTGACAAAGGATAGGAGTGGGGGAAGTCACGCTGTGTTTGATGACATACAATTAAAAATACGATGAAAGATTATACAAGAAATAAAATAAAATAAGATATTTTTTCTCGCCTGAAGCTAGCGTTTCTTTTTTAATGATTTGAAAAAAAACTTATATGATTTTTTAAAAGGAATTTAAAGAAATATTTTGCGAATCATCTTAATTGATGTCAAGTGGGTTAAGTTTGATTGATTTATGAATTTTTATTCATATTTTCCTACAAAATATATATGTAAATATTATCATTATTTATGAAGTGGAGCTAATATTCTAGATCTTCAACCTCAAAAGAAAAGAAATTATTGAAGCATTATAAGTCTTCATTCAACAGATGATTTAAAAAAATTAATTCGTGTTGAGATTTTCTCGCATCAAAAAAAAGCCGAAGTCGTAACTTAAGTTGCTGAATGTATGTTTATACTGGGGGTCCTCGATTTGAGTAGTTGTTTTGTTCCAAAAAATTTCTACTCAAATCGAATCTATTCAAATCGAGGCAAAGAATCCATACAAAATCACATGTTTTGTTCCAGAGTCCAAAAAATGTATCAAAACAATGAAAATTTTGATCATTTTTTGCACATTTTACCTCGTTTCTTAGCTTTACCTATGTGTTTTAGATAACTTAATTTATTTCAAGGCATATTCATATTGTTTTTAAACAGAAATTCACAAAAAATATGTTTTTGAAACAAAACAAAAATATGAGAACCTTGCAAATGTTAATTCACTGAACAATTTGTAAGGTTTTTGAATTTGAACTTTTTAAAACCGTTAATTTTATATCAATTTTTTAAATTTTTACTTTAATTTTGTAACTTTAGTATTGATTTTTCGATCAACATGATAAGTTCACGCTTATTGCAGAATAATTTATGTTTTAAAAATATTTTCTGAAATGTTTTTATCAAAAATGTTTGTTTTGTAAACAATTCAAATCGAAGAAATCTACTCAAATCGAATATTTTGGTGAGTAAAAAATTTTCTGTTCAAATCGAATCTACTCAAATAGAATCTACTCAAATCGAGGACCCCCAGTACAATTAAGTAAATGGCACTGCATGTTTAACAGCTTTTTCATTGTCTTACATTTATATTAATTAAAATGATATTCATAAACATTCTCATATTATCGTTGTAGTCATAAATTATTGTAATGAAAATTCAAATGCTCTGCTTTTCTCATTATCTGAGTACTTTTGGATTAAAAAAGAATCTTTTTGGGTTTTATGGGAAAGTGTGCATTAATGTGCCTTGTTTTGGTGAGTAGCTCGATTTTATTTTTGTCACAAACGACATAATGCTTTTTAATGGATGAGAATGGGTCGATTTGCACGAGAATTTCAGAAAGTAAGAATTGTCATATCTCCATCATTTTAATGACTGAGTTTTGGGATTTTGATGAGAATCGAACTTAGATCCTCACAACAGAGAGAACCATAAATTCTATTCTCTAACCACTCTGCTACAAAAGCATTATTCCAGCACAACTTAATGTCTACAAAGTTCTTATAAAAGTATTTAAGCATCAGCTTACTTAAGGGCAATTCTACGAGTAAAGGGAACTGCAGAAATTTGCATTGTAAGTTTTCGCTACTTGCAAAAATTTAATTTTTTTTATCCGTTATATTTCTTGGATAAAAATATTATGTTTCTTTTTATAAAGTGTATTTCTCCGTTATTGTTACGTTATTCGTTCTTAAAGTATAAACTTTAAGGCAAAAAGAGGCATGAAAAACTAATTAAAATAAGTTTTTTCATATGTAAAGAATATTACAGAATAAAATTTCAACGGTAATTTAAAATTTAAATTTTTGTAAGCGCTTCAAGCTTAGTCGAAAATATGTAAAATTTCCACCGATTGACACAGTTTTTGACAAATTTTAGCTTAATTAAAGCATTTCTGCTATGTTTTAAGTCAAAGGTTTGTTAAATTTGTGAATTCAAACATTTTTTGGGTAGAGACATAAATCAGAAATGAGTATTTAGTGAAATATTTAACAAATTAAAGTACATTATTTTTGTAAATTCCACCGATTGACAGTAAAAAAGTTAAAATATCTCCTCATACAGCCATTTATTGCAAACAAGTACTGTTCATAATGATAAACATTCCCTTTTTACATAATTTTAATTAATTTAAATGTGTAGAGTCAATATTTAAAGTTTTTTTAATAGAATAAAGAAATTTTGTAATTTTTTTCACTCGTAGAATTGCCCTTAATAACCTCAATAATTATGTGTGAAGGGCCCAGCCTTTCAGCTGGAGGCTCTGCAATTCAATTTGTAAAGAATCTATTCTACCACAATCTTTAGACCTACAGTTTATAGTGGGATCCCATAATACCTAGTCACAATTCGTGTGCGCAAGATGTCGTAAGGAAGTCATCCAAATGCTATATCCTTGTAAACCTAGTAAAGGAGGCATATTTTCTGCCAATGATATCAAAACAGCACCCAATTCACGAACAGAGCATCACAACTAGAACGGTGAAATGGAAAAAGAGCTTCGAAAATTAGAAATGCTCTGGAATTGAACCCAGGACCTTTGGTACGGAAGGCCAACGCTCTATCATTTAGACCACTGAAGCCATTTCACCGCTTCTTAATGACCTTTATTTAACAATAATAAAACAAAAACTGCAAGATTCATACTGGCTTAAAAAAATTAATTTTGCAGTATGATAATTGCTTGTTAAATCCTCCAAGGATTCATTTTTTTCTTCTTAGACAAATTTCTCTGAAGGTTCATTTTGCCAAAATTACGTCTCATTTACAGACCTTTCTACAGCCAAAAATATTCATTACCCATTCTCCTCTGTCATCCAAAAGAAGAAAACTTGTTGAATTTAAATAACGAAATGCAACGTCGGATGTTGGCAATAGCAATAAGAAATGAAAAGGCAAAATATTGCGCACCGAGAAAAGCATGCAAAGGAAGAAAAACTTTTCTGCATAAATTTTCAACTTCCGAGTGTTGCCTTCTTTATTTATTAATAAACATTCATACCTCACAACTTATACTGTAGAAGAGAGTAAAAAAAAGCACAAAAGTCAGGCACGAGTGTGAAAATATTGCTTGAAGGAAGAAATGGAAAATTTGCAACCGTTCGCGTGTTTGCAGAGTACTTTAACGATTTCATTTCAGTTCTGTGGATGAGAACATCAATTCCGAAAAAATGTACATGAAGAATTTTCTTGAGAGATGTGAGACATGCTTCTTCATATCCCCACATGTGACATTTTACATTGAGTCGAGTAACATTTGTTATTTCTGAAGGATGAGAATGCTTAATGGAAAATGAAGATAAAGTTTCATGTCTGATAGTTGAATAATAAATAAATAAAATTTTTGACTCACTACTGACTAGATTGCTTATGCCATGTTGCTGTTATCGAATGCACAACTTTTGTATCATGTAACATGAATTTATGTTGAAAATGTTAATGGATTTTTTTTTCTTTAGAGAATGTCGGAGTTCAACCTGTGATTTATGCTGTAATATGAGAATGGAAAAGTTTATAGAGTCAAATCGATTATTTTCAGTGATAATGCATATGTGCTGCTTTATTAAGGTAATATTTTGGATGTGAAGAGCTAAAAGTTCTAATTTTTGTGAGAAAAAAAAATCTTAAATTGAAAGGAATCAAGGGGGAAACAATTTGATGGGAAGCTTTTCAGTCAGAAATTTGAATAAGTATTTTTAAGCGGAAAACAACATGATCAAAAAAAGTTAAGAAAAAGAAAATGAGAAGAGCCAAGGGGAACACAACATGATGAGAATTTACTATTAAAAATTTTGATTTTCCCCCTTTTTTTCCCTTTTTTCTTTCCCATCATGTTGTTTCCCCCTTATTAAATTCTATTCTACATGTTGTATGCACCTTGACTTAAATGTTTCTCATCATGTTGTTTTCCCCCTCGTAAAAATACTGTCTACATATGATCTTAATTCTAATTCAACAAATTTTGGAACTCTAGCTCTATATTTTGAACCATTGTCTCAATTCTCAAAAGTTTCTGTTCTTTAAATTTAAAAGCATCCACAATTTGCGTCACTTTTTCAGGTTGAAGTGCAAATTCTTCTTTAAACTCGATTTTTGGATAATTTTTCTTGACTTCATTAAATGCGTTTTGTCTTAATTTGTCGTGTTCATATCTGTTGCTTAAAATCAAAATTTCCAATGCATTTTCAGGTGTAATTGAGTTTGAAATATTCATAGCTACAATGTCTTTCAATTTTTTGATTTTTAAACGATGAGCAGCGGCGAAAAGATGCATAGAATTTGTTATTTCATCGAATTGAAGCTTATCAGTGTATAAATATTTTAAAATTTCTTTAAATGTCTGCACAGAGATGTCAACAAGATTGAAGCTGTCAGCGTTTGGATTATCGTGAAGTATTTTTGCCAGAACTGGACTTCGAGCTGCTAGTAAGAGCTTGCTAACGTGAATTTCTTCATTTTCAATCATGATTGTAAAATCTTTAAAGTTATTTTCATCTTTTAAGGCTTCTTTGAGTTCATTGCAGAAGCATGAAGGATGTGGAAAATTTAAATTTGACTTCTTTGATTTTTCACGTTCTAATGATCTTTTTAAATCTGTGATTTCGCGATTTAATTTGACTTCAGACTTTTTTAAAACTTGATTTTCTTGGATGAAATTTGCGATAGAATTTTTCATATCTGTTAAAAATTTAAATCTCGCTAAATAAGCTTCATTTAAATCGTTTTTCATATTCATTTAAATATTTTTTCATAAATCCACTACGAAATTGCCGTTGTAGACAAAATCTCCTTTGCAACTTATATTAAGACAAGGATTAGAGTTCAAGTCTACATTGTGTAACTTCTTCAATCCATCGAAAATAGTCGGCTCAACGACTCTTAAATTATTGTTATTAAATGAAACCTTTTCTAAGTTTTCAAATCCTTCAAACAAGTCACCAGGTAAAAATTCAATTTGATTTGAATCAAAGTTTAATGATTTAAAATGTCTGTATTTGATTAAATCATCTTTGTTTAAAACTTTTAGATTTGATCCGCAAATAGTTAAGCTGTGTAGGTTCGGAAAATGATTTAATAAGTTTCTTGGAACTTTTGTGATGAAGCAAAGATTAAACGAAACAGAGTTGACATTGTTATTAAATCTTTCGTTTAAATGTTGACCTACAAACTGCAACTCGTCATCTTCAAGAATTACTTGATTTTCGATTTGGCAAGTATATATTTCAGCTGGTTTTAATCGAATTCGATCAAAAGGGGAATTTTTTGGTTTTGATAGAGTACTTATAAATGTGCACAGAACTTCCATTTTAATTCTTTAAAAGCTTATCTTCTTTTAAAATTTAATATATTTATATGTCAAGATGAACTCCAAATTCTTCAAATTCAAATTCTAAACTGACTTTTCAATTTAATAAAAATATAAAAGCTATAAAAAAATTATCATGAAAATTTACGATAAGATTTGTCAAAGCCCGATCAATAAACTTCATTATCAAAGTCCATCAACTATGTAACTTGGTTTTTGATCAGTGTTGCATTCTGACCATTTGTCTGGATCAGATAAATTCTGAGACAGAAATTTCTTCATAAAGATCGATTCTATATGAAGATAGAAAATCTAATCTACACAAAGATTATTTCTACATAAAGATTCGATGCAGATGTCTACAATTCTACATTATTCTCTGATGTAGACCTGGAAAAAATATAGAATTGTAGACATCTACATCGAATCTTTATGTAGACAGAATCTTTATGTAGAAATAATCTTTGTGTAGATTAGATTTTCTATCTTCATGAAGAATCGATCTTTATGAAGAAAGTTTCTTAGCTAGACAAAAACTATTGAAGAATCTACATTCTTCATCTAGTGCAGACATCTACATTTGCAACACTGTTTTTGATTAAATTGAAAATCTCCTTATCGGGATATAAACATCCCGGAAAGCACAAGTTGGTTAATCGATCAAAAATCCGATGTCAGAGTCACCCCGACTTAGTGTCGCATTTTTGATCGATTAACCGACTTGTGCTATTCGGAAAATAAACAACTTTGCCTTATCAGTTAACAAAACTTGACTTCAAACTAATTATTTCCAAGAAATTGATTAATTGAATCATGTGTGTGGATAACTTGATTAGATAAGGATTGCATCAACTCATTTTAGCTGGTTAAAATATTTTTTAAATTCTATATTTCCAGAAAATATGCAACATTAAATTAAAATAAATATCCAAGTTCATAAAAAAAATTGCAGAATAAATTTTCAGATCTGGATGTAACATGTTTCCTTGAATTCTCAAGATACATAAAATAAAATCTTGAACAGCACGTCTCTACTTAAAAAAAGAAGATCCAGAATGTACATTATAAAGCAACTACCTTCCCAGCAATTTAAAATTTGCAATAAATATTTTAAGGAATGTATTCAGCATGTGGAGAGAGAGTTGAGGAAGCAAAATTCTTTCCTCAAGGAAATGTCTTTATTTATTTACAACTTTTCTTTATCTACCATATTAGAGTGAAGTACATACATATATGAAAATTGAGTGTGGTTCTTTTTTTTCATCATCTTCTCCTGATATTACATAAAGCATATCTTCTTCTTTCACAGCACACAATTGAGTCTTTTAAAATTCCATGCAAGAATATTTTTTCACTAAGAGCATGATTTTTAAAGATTAAGGGCTTGTGGAAGTGAGATATTGGAGCAGAGGGTGTTCTTAGATACTGTGTCATATGTTGGCGAATCTATCAGTGTAAGAGTAAGGTCTCTGTGGCTGAATGGTTCGGCAAGAGACCAACAAAATCAGTTTTTGTAAGATTATTGGTTCAAATTTCATCAAAGTCTAATCTCTCAATCATTATAAAGTGTGAGCGGTGTAGCTAAGACAAAGGATCTACCCAAATCTCACAACAAACTCTTTGGAAATTCTTTTGAGATTACGAACCAGACCTAGGTCATCCAAGAAGAATTAAACTTTAAGTGCGTTCTGAATCCACATCTCCCAAAAAGCTTTCCAACTCAAATAATTTTATTTTCCTGAAAACGAGTGAATTTCATATTCAGTTTTACATTGTATTTAAAAATATAAAAAACAGGAAATGGAAATAACATTTAAGCACTGACTGCATTAAAAGCTTTTGTACAAATTCATTCAGAGCTGTTTTGTATAACTAAATATACATGAATGCGTGCGTGTGTATATGTGAATTTAATATACATGCATAAATGGAGGAACTGAAATGATAAAAATCAGTGAATTATGTAGTGGAAATTTAATTCAAAATTCTCGAAAGAATGAAATGTTGTGGACCTAGAAAAATTTTAATTTATGGGATGAAATAATTTTTTTTATTGTTAATTGCATGAGTTGAGGGAAATTTATAGATTGAAACTAAGTTTGACTTTCTTTATGGATGTTTAAGAATGTATATGAATTAATTTGTTTGCTTCAAAAATGCGTTTTGCAAAAATATCTGGTTTAAAAGGACGTTTCAGAAAATATTTTGGCTTCGTTCTGTAAAACATTCTGCTTCAAAAGTACGTTCAGCAAAACTTTCGGCATCAAAGGTGCATTTAATAAAACTCTTTGCTTCAAAAGAACGTTCAGAAAATATTTCTAATTCAAAAATACATTCAGTAAAATTTTTTGGCTTCAAAATTACGTTCAGAAAAATTCAGCTTCAAAGTACGTTTAGTAAAGTTTTCTGCTTTTTAAAAAGTACATTCAGTATAATTTTCTGCATCAAAGGTGCGTTTAATAAAACCATTTGATTCAAAAGTACGTTCAGAAAATATTTCTGCTTTAAAAGTGCGTTCAGTAAAACTTTCTGCTTTAAATGTGCGTTCAGTAAAACTTTATGCTTCAAAAGTGCATCAAGTAATTTTTAAAACAAGATAAACCCATTAAACCACAACAAAATTCGCAATTTATTTCAAAGTTCCATGAAAAGCTCATTCAGATCCCAATAAAATTCAAAATAAAACCACTCCGAACTGATCACCACTCACAATTCCCTCGATGAAAAAACCTCATTATTAAAATTATCGGATGTAGATTTTTGCTACATTATCCATGTCAATTATCTCGTACTGTTGTATAGTGCTATTTGCCATTTACCCAACGAGTCCTCATATGTATCCCCACAACATTCGCATGCAGTATATACACGACACTCCATAAACTATATCGAAATAACAAATTATGCAAATTCAGTTCAGTTCACAGAAATGAGGATGAAAAAAAAACATCAAGCCGATATTTATGCAATTTATTCAACATAACAAATATTATGCTTGCTTTTTTGCCTCGCTCGTCTGCATTTGTAAAAAAGGGATAAATACACAAATATGGAGTACAATAGGACAGAGACTATTGAATGAACTAGTAAAGTTGAAATGATGCTATAGTTTTTGTTGCTGGACATTTTCGGATGTACATAAATAGTCTCACTCTCTGAGAGAGAAAGAGAAAGAGGAAATGTGTGTGCATTGCCGACGGGGATGAAGAGGCAGCATTACTCAATCATTGTCAAAATACATATTTATGTGAATAAATTATCATGTTTCATGCTGCTATTGTCTGACTATCTAATTCGTCTTCCTCAGCAGCATCTAACTCGTATTGTTCTATTTAATAGATGAAAAATCCATTCCAAGTTAATTCACAAAATATTTTTGGGCTTGTCCTTGTCAAAAAGTTTTCAAATTTTAAAAAACTGTTCAAAAAATTCAAATATTTTCTTAAGAATTCAAAATTTTGTATAAATATAAAAAAATTAAAAATTCAAAAGTTTTTGAAACTTACAAAATTTTAAAACTATGTTGATATTATAAAAATTTGAAAAATTCAAAAAAATTGGAAAATTTTAAAATGATTTAAAAATTTGAAAAATTCAAAAAATTGTAAAATTTTAAAATAATTTAAAAAATTGTAAAATTTTAAAAAATGTAAAAAATTGAAGAAAGTTGAAAAATTTATTTTGATTTAATAAATTAAATTTTAAAGTTTTAAAAAAAGTTAAAAATGTTTTCAAAAAACAAAAAAAAATTGAAAATTTTAAAAATTCAAAATTTTAAAAGCTTATAAAATTCTACCAAAATTCCCACACGATCCACATCAACCCGTACACAAACCATCCACATCACATCTTCCAATCAAGATTTCTGTGTTAAATGTACGGAAAGGAATCAGTAAACCTAACAGAAACACAAAAAAAGAGTATCAATAAAACAGACCGAACATTTACCTGATATAACCTGATGTACATAATTTCAAGTCTATACACACAAAATTATTCTGAATTGATTTGTAAATTTATGTGCATTTCATTACTGGAGTTGAGGACCATAACAGCTTTTATGCTTCTAAAAAAATATTTGTTTAATGGAAATTTATTTCGTACGTAGAAATCATTATCTTGCTTTGTCTTCAGTCATGTCATTTAAAGGCAATTTTATTGGATTTGAATGTTACTTTAAAGTTTATTTTTGAAAATGTAGCTTGCTTTAAAAATTGTAAGGAAGGAGGAAGAACATCAACAGCACAATTTTCAGTTCAAACTGAGAACAAAAGTAGCTTCATACGTCTATAGTTCATCATTTCATCCTACTTCTCATTCATTTTTGGATTTTGCCACATAAAAAGGAGCACAAAAGCTTATCAGACACAAATGACAGTTTCCTTTCTCAACATTTGGGAGTTGATACAAAAACATCAACAATAATGTTTGGAAATCTCAATGAGAATTTTTGCTGCTATTTTTGTCTTTATAAATTTGGAGTTTTGTATTCTTTATAGAACAAATCATTCAAGTATGATGTGTAATTTTTATGTTTTTTTTTTTTGGCTTATTAATGCAACAGTATCCATTAATGTAACAGTATCTTTACTATTAGGTTTTAGAATCTTGTCGACCCTGTCCTAGCTCTTGGTATTCTCAAAACCTGGCAACACTTCTCCACTCAGAAGACATACAAGTCATCGCCTCCCATTATGTCCAAAGGTTTATTATTTTGAGGTTAAATAGAACCTTTGCCTATGAAGATCAATTCTGCATAATGGGAGTTTTACGAATAAAGTAGAGCCAAACTACTGCACTCAAACCTAGACGTACAATTTATAGTGGGATCCGAACCTATGATGACATTGATGACTGTAGCCTACAAATTAATAATATGGTTCGAAAAAGGAGAATCGAAAATTTTCCATGCCGAGTCTCGAACCCATGATCGTTGTATCGGTTTTGCAATAATTATGTACCAAAGAACTAAACCATTCCACCACCGAGCCACTTGTGCTCAATTTTGAGGTTAACTTAATTAACATTTAAATAACTTTTGATCAACATCATTGACAGACATCTCCTGATGCATCTTCATTTCGTAATAAATATTTTGCGAACATTTTTCCTCAACCTTTCTATTTAATATTTAAAATTACTCAAAAAATAAAGCAAGAATCATAAACAATGACACCATTCTATCAAGAAATCCTACCTTAAAAATAAAGCATGAATCAACAATTTTTTTTTCATCCTTCATCATTTCATTCTGTTGCACACAACAATATTTCAATCGAGATAATTTTCGTGTTGTTTCATGGCGTATGGTTTCAATTTTTTCATGATTTTTTTTCCCCATTTTCCATTTTTTTGCCTTTCCACAATTGCAGTTTCGTGTATCAACAAACAAAGCAGAAAATGCCAGTGTTATTTTTTTACTTTGAATCATTTTCATTATTTTATGTACAGAAACATCATCAGAGAATGTTGAAATGAAATAGCTCGGATTGTTTGTGAATTTTACATTGTAAATAACAACAATATTGTGCTGTTTGGGAATCCATTAAACAGAATAAATCACTTCCATAAACAATCATACGAAAGTTCATTAAATTTCAAGTTGTATCTCGACGATCTCATTAAAAATTCTTCTATTTGTTTTGAAATTTGTTTATGATAATTTTGTTTATCGTCAAATTCTATTATTTTTACATCAATGATGCTACAAAATGGGAAATATGACGAGCATTTTTGATGAGGTTGGAAAATTGTTTTGTTTTTTATGTAGAATTTTTAGATGATATCGTTGATTTTATTATTAAAGGAACCTAGGCTTACATAAAATAATATTATTGCTCCTCATTTGGTTAAATAATTTAAAGTGAGTTTGTGTTGAGAATATGTCAACGGTCATTTTATGTTCAAATATATTGTGTATGCAACTTCAGGTTGCATTTTATTTCAATTATAATCTTTGGGGTCGTTCACTTATTATGTTCGTATTTTAGGGGGGAGGGGGTTCTTTTAAAATTTGAATTGTTGAGGCACCACAACCCCCCCCCCCTCTTCCGGGATTTTGTAGTCGCATTGTTGTTCACTCTATTATCTTCAATTAATCAGTTTGATAACATTTGTAATTTATCCACATGAAGCCACATGAAGCCACAATAAAACCCTAGCAAAATAACCCTGCAAAAAAATTAACAAATTCAAACCAAAAACATTTTTTTAAATATTCCACCTTTTTAATGAAAGTCCATATCACTTTTGATAGCTAAGCAATACACAGTTTTTGAATTTTTTTATATAAAGTAACAAATCAATAAAAAAACTGGTTTACAAGACTTTAAAATACAATCATAAAACCTATAAAAAATTATCAAAATAAAATAAATTATGAACGTTCAGGGGGGGCGGGGGGGGGCTGAGTTGTAACATATTGTAACAAGGGGGGAGGGGGGTGAAAAAAGTAATTTTTTGCGTAACGTAATAAGTGAACGGCCTCTTTAAGGAACATTCAGGTACACTTATTAATAAATAAGCATTTTGATATTCACCTTAATGTTCTAGAAATTAGTTTTAATGTTGTATTGTTCTCAGTTTAAGTTTAAGTCATTTTGGTATTAAATAAATCTCTTTGAGAATTTTCGACCATTATTGTTATTTGAGATTTATTAAGGTTCAGTTGATTACATAAACATTGAGAATTAAAGTTTGTGCAAATTTTCTACTATAAAAAGGTCCGAAAGTTCAAAATGAAATCATAACACTCAAAACAGTTCTACAAACAACATTCAAGTAACAAAATCTATCAAAATTCATTATAATGGACAATACCAAAACTAATTTAAAAGCAGCAGAAACAAAACAATCACAAGAGCAATTAAGACAAGAAATTGAGCGACAAAAGTGTATGCACGAAGCTTTAATTCAACAAAACATAAGGCTGCTTCGTTCCGAATCCAACCTGAAGACAAATTTAGAACAAGAAGAGCTTAAAACCATAAAGTTTTCACAAAAACTAATCAAAGGAATTATCAGTGATGTCATCGATTTTATTGAAGACGAAACAGCTAAAGATTTCCACATCATCATCAATGAACGAGAGTTTCCAGTACACAAATTCATCCTTAAAGCTCGTAGTCCGACATTAGCTGAAGTTCTAACAAACAATCCAGATGCTCATGATTTGATTTTAACTGACATCAATGAGAATGTCTTTGAAAAGATCTTGCAGTTTCTCTACACCGACGAGCTACCTAGAGATGGTGGAATTGACTACTTGAACCTTTTTACCGCAGCTGGGGAATTGAAGATTGAAGACTTAAAACATTTTGCTGGTGTTAAAGCATGCAACTATGTAGTCAAGGAAAATGCAGTTGACGTTCTCTTTTTGAGCACCAAATATGAACATGATGTACTTAAAAATTGTGCATTTGACGAAATCAAGAAGTTCTATCCAACTATCAAATTTGACAACCACTGGATTAGGGATACTAGCAAGATCATTGAGGCAATCGAGAAATTCGAGAAGAAAAGAGTTTCAAGAATTCCAGTTCGAGTAAGCGTACGGGAATGAGAGATTAGCTATTAGGATTGAGTTTTTAAATGACAAAATTAAAAAAATATTGCCAAATAAAATTAAAATTGAAAATTAATTTTTTTTGTTTTTTGTTTGTTTTTATTTTAAAATTCCAAGCTAAAATAGTAAGAGCTTAAGTCTCTCCAATTTAAATTTATTCTACAAAGAAATCACATTGCACAGATCAAGGAGAACTTCATTCGTTATATATCTTGCTAAAAACTCTTGAACTGCTTTACTAAACTTAAAATAATCCATCGAAGCTATTTCTTAGCAATAGAGACCTAAGTTTTGTAATGGCAGATAACACACATGTGATTTCAACCATCAAGCTAATTCAGCTCACAGTTTCATATCCACATCTAGAAAACTCTTTGAAAATCTTTATAAAACTTATTAATTATTAAGCTTCATTAGGGATAGTGAATTAAAATTCTGAACTAAGCAGTTCCGCTAGTTCCTTCAAGGCCTTTTTGAACCATATGCTCATATTATTACCTTCATTTTTTGTTCAGTTCTTGTCAAAACATCAAGTTATTGGTATAATTTCAAAGAAGAATTTCAACTATAATTCCAGAATTGATTCGTTCAATTTAAATTCTGATTCTAGAATCGAAATAAAATTGGAATTGAAATCAAATTTTATTTAAATTCTAATTAAAATTGTAGAATTTTTTCAATGTGAAGTGAAGAAGTGGAGAAAGTGGGGGGGGGGGGGCTCTAAAAATTGGAAATTTTTTGATGGACGTCATAAGTGAACGGCCTTTTAGATATAAGCAAGTTTAAATCAAGTTTCATAAGCTTCATCACCTTGTTCTTAAAAAATATATTTTCACACAGAATATCCCGAAAAAAAGAGCTGTACACAAGCAAATGAAAATCATGATGATGACATGAGATAACGAGCATCATGAATGAGGATGAGAAAAAAAATTGCATTTACCTAATGGATTTTGCTTTAAATCGCAGTCAGTTCCTGTCTGATCTCTATGCATATGAACACAACACATCCACACACACTCAGTTGTGAATGGAAATATCATTAAAAATCATAAATTGCATTTTCCACTCTACGTGAAATGGTTGTTGATGCTGTTTTATTCATTCTTCTTCCTTTTCCATCTTCTTTCATGTATTTTTTATATATAAATATTTTTTTAAAAAAAAAATCATAGCTGTGATGATACTGATGGAAAATTGCACAACAGGACGATGAAAGCTTTACTTTTATTTTTTTATGACATAAATGCAGTTTATTTTGAATGCTTATTGACATAATTGGAAGCTTAAAGTTGTAGGAGAAAAAATTGAATTGATTGAAATTTTAATGAGATTTTCTTTCTTTCTTTTTATTATTTTTGTGGACAATTGGATCATCATCATGAGAGTTTACAACTTTATCTATCTCATTGTATTTGTTGGAGATTAAATTGATTGGAAATGATTGATATTGGTGTGTATTTTGTAGGAAATATAGATAATTTTGGTAATTGGGAACAATTAAAAGTTTTTATATTAATCAAGGAACAAGCAGTTATGCCTGGATGATCGCTGTCAGTAGAAGGATGAATCAAATTCCTTTCTACGATCCTTACGTCTAAAGTAAGATTGATTCTCCACCTAGTCGCTATAATAAGTTTTTAACCTTATCATTCAGTTTAAACTCATTATTTTAATCTTATAAAGCTCCACCTTTTAAAGCCTCACCGAGCCATCAACAATCCACTCAACAAGCTTTAAAAACACAAAATCTCATTTCATAATGACGCATTGATTCAATTAAAAGTATAAAATTGTATCATATCATATCATATCAAGCATAAGCCCCTTGTAGCACTCTCATAATGTGAAAAACGGAAAATTAATTATTTTTTTTCTCCTCCACTTTCAAGCACCATTCATGGAAATGAAATATTTATTTTTTCATGCATCTCACAACTAACTCACTCACTTGATTATCTGAGAGATTTTTAAATCTTTATTCTTCCGTGAATGCACTTCGTAATGAGGAATTATGCAATTGTGATAGGATTTTTTTTATAAGAGCTGCCAAATAACAAGGGGGGGGGGATCCGAATTTGAGGGGGTTTGTGGGAAAAGTTTGGTGTCAGGAATATTTTGTGAAGCCATATAAAATTTTGTGAAGCCATGTGCAGTTTTGTGAAGCCATGCGAAGCTTTGTGAAAAGTCATGGTGGGTTTCGGGGGAATTAAAGTTTTAGTGGGATTAAGGAAGTCCGAGTTTGAGGGAGTTTGTTTTAGTGGGATTAAGAGGGTTCGAGTTTAAGGGGGTTTGTGAAGTCCTGTGAAGTTTTGTGGCCATGTGAAGTTTTGTGGTAGGATTGACCTTAAAAACATTATGGTTATTTACGTCTTACAGTTATTTACATAATAGTAATCAAATTTTAACCCTGATAAGAGGCGCCACGGGCGCCTCCGGATAGCCTAGTTTATACAGAATAAGTAAATTTAAAAGTCAAAAATTTTACTGGATCTTAGTTTTTAATTTCAGCTTTGACTAAAACTCTCCTGGATCTTAGTTTTTGGTTCCAGCTATGACCAAAACTCTTCTGGATCTTAATTTTTAATTCCAGCTATGGCTAAAACTCTACTGGATCTTACTTTTCAATTCCAGCTATGATTAAAATCTTCTGGATCTTAGTTTTTTGTTCCAGCTATGGCTCACATTCTCCTGGATCTTAGTTTTTAGTTCCAGCTGTGACCAAAACTCTTCTGGATCTTAATTTTTATTTTTAATTCCAGCTATGGCTAAAACTCTACTGGATCTTACTTTTTAATTCCAGCTATGATTAAAATCTTCTGGATCTTAGTTTTTTGTTCCAGCTAAGGCTCACATTTTCCTGGATCTTAGTTTTTGGTTCCAGCTATGACCAAAACTCTTCTGGATCTTAATTTTTATTTTTAATTCCAGCTATGGCTAAAACTCTACTGGATCTTACTTTTTAATTCCAGCTATGATTAAAATCTTCTGGATCTTAGTTTTTTGTTCCAGCTATGGCTCACATTCTCCTGGATCTTAGTTTTTAGTTCCAGCTGTGACCAAAACTCTCCTGGATCTTAATTTTCAATTCCAGCTATGGCTAAAACTCTACTGGATCTTACTTTTTAATTCCAGCTATGATTAAAATCTTCTGAATCTTAGTTTTTTGTTCCAGCTAAGGCTCACATTTTCCTGGATCTTAGTTTTTGGTTCCAGCTATGACCAAAACTCTTCTGGATCTTAATTTTTATTTTTAATTCCAGCTATGGCTAAAACTCTACTGGATCTTACTTTTTAATTCCAGCTATGATTAAAATCTTCTGGATCTTAGTTTTTTGTTCCAGCTATGGCTCACATTCTCCTGGATCTTAGTTTTTAGTTCCAGCTATGATTAAATCTTCTGGATCTTAGTTTTTTGCTCCAGATGTGGTTAAAACTCTACTGGATCTTCGTTTTTGGAAGCGTACATGCCTTAAATTTATTTGAATCTCATGAATCAATTGTAATTAATGAATCAAATTAGATGATTTTGATTTTAAAGCAAAGAAAAAGCTTAACTGGTCTTAAAAATCCAGTTTTTTGATGAGCCTTGTGAGCAAACCACCATTAATGAAAACTTTAACTTCTACTCGTCTTGACATATTTTTGGATATCCAAATTCTACTTCCTTACTGTTATAAGTACTGATTCAGACCTCAATATCTTGTATTGAGAGCCTTGTAGAGTTATCACATGAAAAAGTCAATTAACCTCAAAATATCTTATATTTCCTATAATCCTCAACTAGCTCGCCCTCCATTATACACAAAATTTAACAACACATTTAATTTTATGCAAAAAATCTCTTTATTTTTCATGAAAAATTCATTTTATCGCCATTTACTTTCTCATATGTTTGCATGATGATGATGAAAAGTTGAAGACAATGAATGTCTTAATTTATGTAGCGATGTAATTTATATAAATTTTGTAATCCATCATCGTCATGTTTCATTCAATTCTATAGAGAAGGATACACGACAGCAACAAGAGAGAGCGAAATGAATGAGAATGAAGAGAGGCGGAATGACGATGAATGGCGCCTGCAATTTATGCAAACTTCATTCTATCAGTCGTCTGATGTTTGTTTTTCATTTATTCTTAACTATATAAGTCTTAAAATCTTCTGTTTTACTAGATTCGAGTGTAATGTTTTTGATGTCTAAATATAAAGCTTTTGTCATATTTATATTCACACCGTATTCGCGTGTGAATCTTTTGGTTATGTCAGATTGAAAAATCAGTTTTTCAAATTTTGCGAGGAAATGGAGCAAGATAGCTTAACAGGTTTAGAGATAAAAAGTTTGTGCCTGAAATTTTACATCATTTTCAAAAATCAGATTTCAAATTGATTGAGGCATTGCTGAGAAAATCGCAAAATACGCTTTCTGTAAGCAAACAAGCAAGCAAGCAAGAAATCTCAATAACGAGACATCGTAGAGACTTCTAGTTTTTTACATTTGATCCGTGCTGCTCTATAGAAGAGCTGTATTGTTTTTAGGCAAGGTAGGAACAGCCGTTGCTTCAGAAAAAGCAAAAAACTTTCCTTTCTTACGAATTTTTTAAAGCAAAAGTTGACTATGATTTTTATAAAATTCAACTTTGGATGAAAAAATTTTTTTAAAAACTTTTAAAGAATGTTCGTTAAGCTTTAAACCTTCAAACGTATGCTGAGCGAAGCTCAGCTGACTCGCTAGCATTATACCTTCAAACTTATGCTGAGCAAATCTTGGTTTATCCATAATACTTTTGATGGTATGGTGTGAATATATCCGCATTGGGTTTCTACCTGATCCACTAGTTTGGATTGTTTATTGTAAGAAGCACATTAATAAATGACGTTCAATATTTAAGAGGGGTTTGGACGATTCAACAAAAAGAAAATCTTCTCGATTAAAGTTTAATAACAAGAGGGGGAGAGGGAGGTCTGAAATATTTGCTTTTCGATGGATTTCTTTTTTAAACAGACCCAAAGGGGCCGTTCATTTATTACGTAACGCTTTTAATGGGAGGGG